TTCTTTTGGATTTTCTCGGGGTCTCTGGTGGGATCAGGCTCGTGACGCAGCTGTTGTGACCAGCTGGGTTGGCCATGAAAAGGGAGAAGGGGGCTACAGCGAGAGGCGTGTGTGTGAGTGAGAGAATGTCTTCATGAAGTCACAGGTCTCAGTGGTACTGGTGGTGGTGTACAGGAGGTAGAAGGTAGTGAGTGAAAACGGCTGGGGTCGGGGAGGTGGTGTTGCAGGGGAAAGTGAAAGGGGCTAACAGACTGAGTTGAACAGCTGTTGGGTTAGTCAATCCACAGCTCTGCAGCGGTGACCTCCATGTCACCTGACTATACAACCCTATTTCCTTATTGATTTTTATTGCAGGTAAACACCACCATGTCTGTCTTCCTGCTACACGCCCTCCACCTCAAAAGTTCAAACGACATCACAGTTGCGCATGTGATTTTTCTCGTGGCTCTTAGTACACTCGTGTTATTCCACCGAGCCCAACCAGGTTTTGTTGACCGTGAGTCTGCTGTAGCACAGACTGGTCCCTGTTGGTGCTAGGGAGGTTGTAGCTGTCCCCGTCCCGGCCCGGAGACATGTGCCTGACCGTGGCCTCAGTTCCCCTCCACTCGTGTCTTCTGGCCTGCCCTGATCTGACTCTGATCTGATGAGGAGAAAAATGTATCTGCTGCCTTTTATGGCAAAGACTTGCCTGGGAGAACTTTACCAAGAAGAGACAAAGCTGTGTGTGTGTGTGTGTGTGTGTGAAGACAGACTATGTACGTATGAGGGGAGGAGTGCTGGCATAGAGGAAGTTTTCTTTATCCTAAAATAAACTAATGGCTCCAGAATTTCAACTCCCCTTACCACACAAATGTTCGCAAGAAGTGGAGGAGGCGTTTGTATGGAAAATGATGAAATTACAGAGGGGGAGAGGCAGGAAATAGCTCAGTAAAACAGAATGTTTTCAAAAGGAAGGGGGGGGGCAAGTTGAACCTTTCACAGGAGCTGAACTTTTTGTTCTTTTTTTCCTCAGGAGCTTAGCAAAGCCTTTGAAAAGTTGTGAGAGCTGACTGTATCTGTGGATGAAGCTCCATCCTCGGGGTAAAGCTCTTTCACATGACAGAACATGTAGCTCACAGCGCAAAACCACACGGACCACATGAATCTGTCTGTGCCCTCATGTGCAGGAAGAAGGGGTGGGGGTGGTGGATTGAGAGGGAGAAGGAACCAGACAGAGATAAGGAGAAATTAAACAAATGATAAAACAGGCAGGGGAAGGAGCCTTAAGTTAAAGAAAAAATGTGTGGGGGGGGAACAGTAATTGAAATGTGAGTCATGGAGTGAGGTAAATGGGAAGCTGTTGGGACAGGATAATAGTTGGGGACAGACAAATGAAGGGTAAGGGCAGAAAGAGATGAAAAGAGAGGGCAATGAGCCATGAAGAGGAAACGAGAGAAGGAAAAGCCTACAAGCCTAAAGAAAGACAAGATATTGGAAAAGGGTGAAACAGAAAGTGGCCACTCAATAATTAGCCAGCAGTGTACTCTGCGATGTCCTTGGTTTTTAAATGAGGCCAAAACAAGCTCAGGATTGGCCTGATAAGATGAGCCGAATACCTTAATCAGTCATTACCCGGCAAATGAGAACGTGTGTGCGCGTGTCCGTGACTGTGCAAATGTTTCCCCTTCAGATCGTAACATTTTCACAGGAGGCCTGAAGGCAGTTTTACAGCTAAGCATTTCTCCTGACGGCTAAATTAGACGACAACGGACATGTAAATGGTGAAATTTAAACATTTACAAAGTAAACAGCTGCAGGCTCCCTATACATCCACATGCTGACACGCCTTCCCTTGTTTGCTGAGGTGGAAAGCAGGACGACGCTTCCTGGAGAGGGGAATTGCAAAGGGCTTTTGAATAAGGTGCTCTGGCCAAGAGGCCTCGTGCTCCACAGGCCTGTCATGTTTTGTAAGTGTTTATTAGTTCCCATGGATATCAGCTGAGTCTGTGTCGATCTACCTCCTCTTCTCATTCCTTTCTATCCCTCTGCTCTGACTCCCCCTTCTCTCTTCCCTCCCCCAGTTCTCAATCCTTTCTCTCTAAATATATTTCTAATATCTCTGGCTACATGTGGACTGTGAACGTGAAAGCCCCTTTTCCTGCAGAAGCCCCACCAGCTGTTGCTTCTTTTCTGTAAAGTCGAGTGTTAGTCGCAGCAGAGCTGGAGAGAGAGTGAGAAGGGGTTTTTTTGGCTGCTGCTGGAAAATAGTGTTTATGATCCCTCATCATTAGTGCTGTTAGAACAGCTCTCGCTGGTCCAGGAGCCAGAACTGCTGTCTTTCGGGAATGGTAGGAGGTGGTGATCTGGGAATGTGAGTGGGAAAGGAAAGGGGGAAGTCAAGAGCCAAGAACACATTGCTGGATCACTGTGTTTAGAAAGAGGGTGTGGAGAGAGGAGGGATGAGAACTGAAGATAGAGGGGGTGAGCCCTAGACAGGCGGAAACGAGGGTCAACAAAAGCACAATAAATTCTCGGAGCAAACTGAAACTCCCTTGTCCTTAAGCAAACCCAAACAACGGTAGCAGAGCCAAGCAGGAGGGAAATAAAGATGTAGGGAACAGTTGAGAAAAGGAATAGTCATTACAGGATGAGGAATGCCTGAAACAGAAAACTGATCAAGTTGGCTATTGTTAGCTCTGACTTTCAACGTGATGAAGAAGGGTTGTTGGATAGTCCCATTACATATGTCTGGATTTTGTAATGACTGTGCCAGGCTACTCCTCCTCGGTCTTATTTGTCTCACTCATGTATCAGTCCAGGGTGCAACCACTGTGGTCGCACATGTGGACAAAAATCTGTTCAAAAAAACATTTTCATTAGTCTTTCCTCTGTGTGTCTGCACATGTGTGACACCGCGTCCTGTACGCCTCCCACATTTCTTTGGACTATTTTGTCGTAACGAAAATATACCCAGGCCTGACCCTACGTCACCCCTGCCCCCTTATCTAAGTAGTCTTATAAGCTACGTCAAGACCAACATGCCTCCTCCACATGCGGCTCACCTGCTGTTGTGAAAATGGAATCGCTGGTGATCCCAAACGCAAGTCATGTTTTTTGGGCGACTTTATAAAACACACTGCTGACGAAGAAAGTCAACAGACTTACAACACAGAGGGAGTGAGAAACGGAGAGAGGCGAGGACTCTGAGGCAGGTGTAAGCAGTCAGACACACAGGTGTTTGCATGCGTCTGATGGAAAATATCCAAATAAGGTGGAGAATTAAGTAGAATTAAAACGGTGAGATACGAAATAACCTTCTAGAAATTAGGTAATGTGTTCATGTATTCTTTCAAATAATAGCCTATTTTCAATAGACAACTACAAAAGGTTTTATATTTTTTTGTTTGCATAGTAAATGTTCTCAAAATACTCCTGTCCTATATGAAATATGTCCAGTATGAATACCAGTGCTTTACCCCTTCAGAAGAAGTTTGAAAAGCATATATACAGTATCTCACAAAAGTGAGTACAACCCTCACATCTTTGTAAATATTTAATTATATTTTTTCATTTGACAACACTGAAGAAATGACACCATGTAAAGGAGGAGTGGAGACTCCATGTGTGTGAAGCTCTGGTGAACACCATGCCCAAGAGTTTTAAGGCAGTGCTGGAAAATAATGGTGGCCACACAAAAATTTACAAAATTTAAAATTTACACTGTTCTACAAGCTGCCCCCACCACATCTTAAGTTTACTTGGTAGGTTTCGCTCAATTCCTTAATGCCTATGGGATCATGATTATATTATTTGATCACATAGACAGTCAACACTTGAGCCAAAATAACCTTATATTGCTGTTTGACATAACTTCTGACTACACAAAATAGTTTTTAAAAAAGATCTGTCATAACGCATTTATTAGTTTCTGACTCTGGGGGGGGCAGTTCCCCTAAACTACTGTGTCTCTGAACTCTAACACATAGGCTATTCTATGTGATCGCCTTTTGATAACTAATGCAAAAAGTAATGTAATATTGATTCACTTCCATTCACTGAGCGCCCCCTCAAACTGTTTGGAGCACCCCTGGAAAGGCCTTCCTCACACTTTGAAAACCCCCTGCTATATACCATAATATATACCATTACTCTCTGTGCTTCAAAGTATACTGTGATTTTTACCTTTGTACCATTTTAGGCTGTACCGCCCAGCTCCAGGTGCACCTAAATGAAAACTGCTCACCAGTGGCACAAATGTGAAACGTTCGTCTGGACCCCTGCGGCCCTTCTAATCTTTGACCCCAGATTGCACTGCCTCCACTGATAGAGACGGGGAGCAGGGGCTGGGGGAGGAGAGGTTACAGCCCTGGAAGTGCAGAGAGAGTGTGATATGACATCCCCATGCTAAAACTAGCAGTTGAAGTACAAGGCGCTGGGGACGGCTGTCTCTGTGGAAGCTATAGACCTACATTATGTCACAGGTCAGAGTTAGAGGTCAGGAACAGAGGAATCTTTGTTTGGTCTGTTTAGGCTGCCGTAAATTCAGTTTCGAAAAAGCCAAGTAAAGAGATTCAGTTAGTTTATAGATCTGTGGGTCTGGGCTCAGGCTGATGTGTCTTTGTAACTTTTTCTGCAAGTGGCTTTTTCCATTTGCAGCGCATTTGATGCGTAACAAATAACCTGCTGACTTCACCGTTCATCAAGTGGAATTTTACTGCAGAACCAAGTTGTGCTGATTGGTCCTCCACATTCGTTTTGGCTCAGCATTTGGCTGACACTACCTGAATATCTGTTTGGATGCTACGTTTTAAGGTGGCATCATGTCGGCCCTTCTGGAAAATGAATATGCTAGCAGTCCATCATAGAGCTTATATTGCCTCCCGTTCACAACTATGTCCGATTAAGCAGTAAATGTACTGCAGTTTTGTAATTTATTGCTTTGTAATTTAATCTTTAATCTAAAGCCCCCTTTCAAGTCTTTTGCAGCTCCTCAACCTGTCCTCTTTTCTTCTGCCTTGCAGGAAGTCGAAGACGAAGCCAAATGGAAAGAAGCCTCCAGCAGAAGAGAAGAAGCAGTACTTGGAGCTAGAGTACACAAAAATCCGAGTGGTGGACTTTGACCTCAAGGAGCTGGTGGTGCTGCCCAGAGAGATAGACCTCAACGAATGGCTAGCCAGCAACAGTGAGTGACTATGGTGGTAGAAAATGAACACAAAGCTGATCAAGATGTCCAACAGAAACTGCTACTATAATTAGGAACACTGTTATCGTTGCTTTTTTTAGGGGCCTATTATTTCATTTATGACATTAAAATCCTTTAGTCAAGCTCAGCATTTGTTCTGACTTATGTAAAAATTTCCTCAAGGGTTTGGAATTGTTTTTCTAAGCTGGTATGCATTTGTCTTGATGACACAATGTTCCAGTGGTGTTGGAGATGTGATTCTGACAGAGCCAAGCCGCTAACAGGACGCAGGCCTGGCACAGCACTGAGCCTGTTCCCAGTAACAGCACACACACCGCTTCTTTAAACACCAGCTTCAGAGCAGTGTTTTAACTCTCACTGAAATTTATAGTTGTCATTATGAGCCGCGTCTCTGGAGTTCTGTAAACTCACTGCTACTTGATCGATCTCATCAGGCTCTTTATTTTTTCTGTCTCCTTGACTTTGTTTTGGTTATGTATCCAAACCAGCCAGGTGCTCGCGAGAGAAAAGGGTAGGAAAAAAAGCAAGCGCTCTTCTTTCCGTTTTAGACCAATAAAACAGGTGGGGCATGTTTTCACATGTTAATGTGTTGAAAGTGGAGGTTATATAAGCTGGCTTACATCGACTTGTATCCACCAGTAGTTGTTTTAACACAAACAATAGGGCTGAGCAGCATTTTGATTAATAGTTTGTTGAACCAAATCAATAATGATTTGGAGTCATTTAATTCTTCCCACCTGTATAAACCAACAGTGCAACACTGAATATGTTTGCACTTGGCGGCTTTTTTGTTGAGCACGAAAAGAGGGGATGGGTTCTGAAGGCTTCCTGTGAGACAGTACAACTTTCAAATTGTGTCCTTGTGTTTCTTTGTTCCGTGTGGAAGGAGAAATCCAAATGACAGTAATTTCATTGCTCAACATGACAGAAAATCATGGACATGTTTTCACAAATTGGAGCCAGATCAGTTCACTGCTGCTCAGAGAGGTTCAGCGCATTAAATTATTATATGAAACGTTTTAAAGGGTTGACCATGCTGTTGCTCCTACTTGACTTTATAGTGGACCGTATTTAAGCATCATAAGCTGCAGGTTAAACAAAGTGTGGCTTGCACTGCTCTGCTGCAAGTTAAGTATTGTATCAGTGTACCCTCTGCATGAACACATCATTTTATACATATTATTTATATACAAAATAGTAATATTGTAATACCGAAAGTAAATCATCAAACTATCTATACTTGTTAATTTATTTATTTCAGCTAGTTGAGGTTGATTATGTTGACTTCGCTCAGGCCTAAAAAAAACTCTCAACACTGAATGTTTCCTTGAAGTGCTCCAAACGAATGAGATGACTCCTGCAATATGTTGTTGTAGGCTTTCAGTAAATTCATTATTTGCATACAAAGGCACACAGTTTAAGGAATGTCGACATACCAGAAAGATGGCACATGTCTGAATACATCTAACAGAAAAACAAATATTTGTGACTGAAAGGTTTTCTCTTCTACACGCAATAGACCCCGGATTTGCATAATGCTTTCACAGCAAAGCAAGCTGTGAAAGAGTTTCCCACGTGACAGAAAATACCTGTTTCATGCTTACTGAAGCTGTAGGCGGCTCCCATTTTTCAAATTTCACACTGTTTAAGGATGTGGTGACCTGATGGATTAGTGTGCGCATGTGACTGTGACTGTCCCACTAATGCACTGCAGTGTACACTCTACAGTACTGTATGTGTATTCTCATCATCCACTGGAGACCCAAATAGTCCACTTTTATGTTCTGACAGTACTACAGTCCTCTGATATAAATATAATTATCTGTTAATTTCTATTTTTGTAGCATGAAGGGGCTATAAACTTTCATTTCGTTGCGCAGTCTTGTGTTGTATAGTGATAAATAAATGACCTTGACGATTCATTCCTGCGTAACTGACGACACACACGAATAACGTGCTGCTCTCTCTTGTCTTTGCCACAGCGACAACATTCTTCAACCTTATCAACCTGCAGTACAGCACCATCTCAGAGTTCTGCACTGGGGAGACCTGTCAAGCCATGACGGCCTGCAACACGTAAGTTATCTCCCCTGCTTTTGGTTTATTCATCACTCACCTGCCGTGGCCCATTGGTTTATTCATCAGAAATCTAGTGTCCCATTGGTTAATTCATCAAGCGATGTTTCCCCGGGCAGCGAGGGATGACTCGTAGCCCAGTGGCGCACTCTTTTAACCAGCCACACTGGTCATCTTGGACTGTGCAGTATGCAGCTTTACAGCATATTTAATGTGGGCAGGTTTACATTATATTCACATCCCACACACTGCCTAGTGTAGTGTTAAAAGATAATCATAACATGGAGGCTTATTCACGCCATGCTAACAGGGCAAGTGTAAATATTTATCTAACTAGTTTACCCAGTCAGGGTGGGGTGACATCTTTATGTGTGAGCCCTTGTCTTTGGTCTTTGGAGAGAAGCCTTCATTTCTCACTGAAGGCTAAAAACCTGATTACCCACACTTGGAGAAACAATCACTACATGTCACACATCAAACGCAGCCTACAAGCGCGCTCACCCTGGACAAAGAAATGACAATGACATGAATGACAAACAACACAGCCGTTGAGAAATGACACATGCCAAATGTTGCTATGAAAGAAAAACTTGTCACGAGTTAACCTCACAGTCAACAGTGGAATATTTTCACTTCTGTCACCTTAAAGCTAGGTTAGGCAACGTTGAAGAAACTAGCAAGAGATGGTTTGATTTTGAAAGTAAAAATCACCTACCCCCTCCCTTCAGGACTCTCTCCAAAGCTACTCCCCCAAAACACATATTCATTCTCAGTGAGTACACGGGCAGAGTGCACACAGGTAGCCAGTCATTAGCTGTGCTCATTATTATCCTCCTGCAACAGATTTTTTTTCCCATTTCATTTATTGATCGCTGTTGGCATGTAAAGGGAATTTCAACAAATAGAACAAAAAATGCCTCTGAAATAAATTGCCTACCCTGGCTTTAAGCTACAGCTACTAACCCAGAGAAAAGGAGGAAGCTAATGTGCTTCGCCTGCGGTATGTAAAGAGTGAAGAAAGCAGATTAACATGCTTCTGTTTGCACGGTCTATTGACCTGTGGAAAACAGAGGTAATGTCTTAATCAAGAGGAAAAAGGATTGGACTTCTTAGTTTGTCTCACAGCTCCACTCCGGATTCAGCTCAAAGGTTTAATGCATTTCTGTTTGATTAAAACTCTGACTGTCAACACTGTGTTTCTAAGATGAGGCCCACCATTTATGATTGTACCTTCCCCGCTGCCCGGCACCCCACCCTTTCCTGCCCGTGCAGGACCTGGCACCCGCACCCCTCTCTGTGGTGAAAACTGACTGAGCCACAGTCACAGCAGCGTCAGTGCCCCTGCCCAAAGGCAGAGCTCAGCACTATTTTTAGAAGGAAAAAGTTTCCATGGGCTATGAGGGAACGGAACCATTTGCTAGCTATTTAGACCCATTTTGTATGGGTGGGTGGATAGATGGGTGTGTGTGTCGCAGAGAGCGAGAAGGAGATGTGTGGTAACACGCTCACACTGTTCATTAGTGTTGGGTTCTTAAAGCCAGTTCCATTTTGGATTTGGTTGCTAAAATGCACAGATTCGTTAAGCTCTGTTACAGATCTCTTATGAAATGTTTTATGTCCTAAGCCAAGACTACAAAACGTCCAGGTAGTCATTTAGCTCGCTTTCCAACATGTAATCTTTAAGTTATAGTTGTTGTTTTATGATGAACTTTTTATTGCTTTTATTACATCCTTTAAACATAGACACTGTGCTTGTTCAGCAAGATATCAAATCGCCCCATAGCAACATATATGTTGTTTGTCCCCACCCTGTACAGTGTGCCACCATTCCCACCATGATGACATTTCATAACCACCTAACCCCACCCACAGCACCAGTAGCCCATCCTGTAACCTCCAAAATGAAATGAAAAATATCTGGGAGATTAGAGAGGGGATTCAATCAGAAATGATAAATAAATTAAAACAATACGTGAGAATAGAGAAAACATGAGACTGCTATGAACCCAATTTATTACATTACAAAACAAGCCTGAAAAATTGACACAAACTAAAGGTACAACATTTTTTGTTTTTAAAATATTAAGTAAGCAATTTGTAAACATTTACATTCAATAAAATGCTATCAAGCCCCAACCCATGTGTACATAAACAGTAAGTAAACCCCCCTCTGTAGTAGCGTTTCATACTGTATATGGCCTTAGCTTTATCACATCTGGGCGAGTGTGTGGGAGTCGAGAGAAGGCATGTTTGTAGTTTAGTCAGTGTCTCTCCCACACAGTCGAATCCTGTGTGAGTAAGTCTAGTCTGTCCTGGCGCTGTGGTCAGTAGGTTTTGCTCATGCAGGGTCAGTTATGTGAACGATTTACATTCCTCAGGATTTTTAATGTCTGCCCCACTGCCTCCCAGACCCACTCCGCTAACACTAACACCTGCATGCACATTTCTTTTCAGTGTTTTATCTGCTCATTAATTGACCTTTTCCAGCTCACTGATCAGTCAGCTCGCCTTTTGTCTATTTGGTTACCTTACCGGTCCTGTTTCGCCGTCTCCTCCCTTGTTAGCTCGCCAGTAACCTCCTGCTGCTCATTCATCTGTCTCTAAGGTGTCTGCCGACCTGCTGTTTGACATTTGTTAACTATGGCTCCAATCCACCCGCCTACAATTGAGCTATCTGGGTCACCCCCCGTGTGTAATGTTTGACCAGCAGCGGGACTGGCCCGGGACTGGGGGAGGGTCCATGTCCCGTTAACTCCTGTAACAGCAGGGACTTTGGCTCAATCGGGAAAGCTCCTGGACGCAGGGTTCAGCAAGTCCACTGGAATGAAAATAGACATGATATCTGGATAAGGATGTGTCCATATGAGACACAGGAGACAGTTTGTAGTTTCGTGCACCCTGTCTTCATTCTGATCTGTGTTGTTCAGAAAGATGACATTGGGAGTATGGGTTTTCGCTGGGTGAGGAAAAAGGGCCAATTGCGTCTCATTGGCCACCTGCATGTGTTGTTTCTCATCCTGCTTGAATGAACTGCTGGTCAACCGATAAGGGTTTTTCAATGGTTGAATAAATACCGGTATTTAGAGAGCAGGGCGGCCGATCTATAATGCCAATATCAAATCATGTGTAATTAGATTATTCCATGCAGAGTACAAACTAATATGCATGTTATCTTAGCCAGTAACATGTTGTTTTAGATTGGTGTTTTTATCAATGAATAAAATAGAAACATACTTTGGGTTATGCTGTAGATTTTAGAACCTGACCGGTGTTTAAGGGAGAGTGGGGTACAGTTTGTCACTAAGTGACATCATTCAGCTGCATTATTCTCTTCAGTGTAACAATATACATTTAACACTAGCCAGTAATGGTTTTAGATTAGATTAGCTGACATTTATGATGAGAGAAACGTGTTCACATTTAGAAAAGACGATGTTGACATTTAGGGCTCCAAACTAACTTTTTCACCACAAAACTCACAGGTGGGAGCACTAACATTGTTCCACAGCAGCCACACTGACCAGGCTGCCTGCAGACATTTTTTCTATATCGTCCTTGTGAGTGCAGGTATCGGGCCGATGCTCATTGACCCAAAAATGCGCGATTAATGAGCCGACCAGTTAATCGGTCTATCGCTACAATGAAGCACAAGCTTTCTTTTGAAAACTTTCATTATGATGAATTAAAGCCCAGCTCACAGTTGTGGAATGATACCTTGCTCTTTGATGATTTGTGGAGGGTGTAATGACAAGCACTGATCCTCTTTGTCTGTCTCTTTCTAGAATATACTACTGGTATGACGAGAGGGGGAAGAAGACGAAGTGCACTGCTCCACAATATGTCGACTTTGTAATGAGTCTTTGTCAGAAACTGGTCACAGATGAGGAAATCTTTCCCACAAAATACGGTGAGTGTCTCAGTTTCCAGGCCTGCAGGGCCTGTGAAGGGCTACAGAAGTCACTGGTGTTGTGCTGCTGCCCCCTGCTGCTTCATGTTCAAATTTGGGGATCGAGTAAATGAGTGGTGGTTCAACAATAAACAGTTCTTTGAAAAAACATAGAAGGACTTGTTTTATCTTGAAATAATTTTTTTCTGTCACTTTCTCTATTATTTCATTAATCATTTGGTTTGCATTCTAAAAAACCCCTAGCGAGTTGACATTTTATGACTGTTTGCTTTGTCCAAACAGGCCAAAGATATTTTTTCTACATATAGAAAACAACCTTTTTTTTTTCTTTTTTTTTTAAATGTTTACATGTAGGAAAGAATAGGCTTGGGGCTGAGTGGCACACACGGGGTATGGAAGTCAGAAAGTTTTGAGAGACAACCTAAGGCATTGCTTATGGTCTTTCATGGGACATGTTGATATAAATTTATAGAATACACTGGTGATTCCTGTGCCTAATCCAATCTCTCCTGTCTTGTTTTGTACCCTTTTTTACCCTTCAGGCAAAGAGTTCCCCAACTCTTTTGAGTCCTTGGTAAAGAAGATCTGCCGGTACCTGTTCCACGTGCTGGCTCACCTCTACTGGGCGCACTTTAAAGAGACGGTGGCTCTGGACCTGCAGGGCCACTTGAACACTCTGTATGCACATTTCATCGTTTTCGTAAGGGAATTCAACCTGGTCGACCCCAAGGAGACCTGTATCATGGACGACCTGTCCGAAATCCTCTGCACCCCGGCCCCGCCACCCGCCCCCACCCCGGCCCCGTCCACCCCAGCCTCTGCGCCCTCCCCTTCTTCACAAAACCATGTGACGGAGAGATGAGCGGGGGGCGGCGTTGAGACAGCAGCCCTGGGGGTGATAGAAGATCAGATAGAGAAGAGAAGGAAAGACAGCCTGGCCCCCTCCTCGTCGGTGCCAGCAGGACTTTAGAGACCTTCCACTACCCTTATATTTCGCTACGACACCAACCAACCAGCCGGAAGAGGGGGGAGGGTTTTTGGGGGGGGTTGGGTTGGCAGGGGGGGGGTTGGGTTTGTCACGCCAGCAGGAATTGGCGTGAGTGTTCCTCCCAGGGGCAAATCCCTCCCATCTTCTCTGCAATTTAAACTAGGAACAAAAAGTATGTGTATGTTTTATTTTTGGTTTTATTTCACTTTTATTTTTGTTGACGTTTTATTCAGTTTTATTTTTTTGTTGGTTGTGTGGAGGGGGGTGCGGTGTGTCCATCGGCCCTTCACCTCCCTCCATCCTCTACCTAACATACAGTACAGGAAGGGGGCTCTGCTTTGCTTCAACCTACTTTTGTACAGTGTTGTTAATGTATGGAGAAGAGGCGTCTGTGCTCTCCTGCGGGCTCGTCCTCCCCACCCCCCTCCCCCTCCCCTGCTGCGGGAGGTGGCCTGCGGCGGGAGACGGCCATTACGCTGGCCAGTAGGGAGCCACGTTACTGCCTGACGGGGCGATACTAGCCAATCACTGTTTGGGTTGTTCATGTTGGGGATGATTAAAGCGCTTCCTACTCAGGACCTGAGAGAATACGTCACTGCTGCCAGAGAGAAGTCACTCTCCTTATTCAGTCTCTGTCCCTTATTCACCAGACTGCTCAGTCCTTCGTATGACAGATGTCGATCGTATTTAACTACAGTATAGTCACATAATCGCCTGGTGTGTCCCTAACAACCATGTCACAGAGCCTACCTGCAGAGGGCAGCAAACATGTAGAGAACGGCACAGAAACAGGGAGAGAAGAAACTATAAAGATTGTGTGTTAGATATTTAATGTGATACTTTGAGACAGACCGGTGAGGCTGAATCAGAGCTGTTTGCTGGTGTTCAACACAGCGGCAGCCCGCTAACCCACCAGCACCACCACCAACACCCACTCCAGCAGCACAGAAGGACAAAGACATGAGGTAATGTCTGCAGGCCCAGGGAGGGAGAGATGGCGACAGAAAGGAGGGGGTGGGCGTAGATGGTGTGGAGCTTCTCTGCTGTTTAACAGTCACCAGTACTCCCAGTGAAAAACAAAAAAATCTCCACTTCTGTTTTTTTGTTTTTATCTGTCCCTTAAAAATTTGCTTTTCTTAAAAAAGATTATCAGAGGAAAATTAGTTCAGAAATAATAACAATAATGGTATCATTACACATGTATAGAAGATGCACAGTCTGCTTGGACTTGGACAAAGAATCACAAGCGGGTCCTGTCAGACATAGCCTCTATATGGAGGAGGATTGGGTTTATAATTCTCCTTTTTTATTTATTTTTTTTTTTTGCAGGGTTCTTCAGTTCTGGCTCTCGTTTTTATGTATTTTAATTATTAACTAAGTTAAAAGCAATTTAATATTTTAAGCTCTGCGAATTATAATCTAATAAAAGACAGAAATGCCACCCTGCCTGTGTCTTTTGTATGAACGTGTGAGTGTCTGTGTAAATTAAGCAAGAGGAAAGTAGTGTTTTTGTGGGCCTTATAAAAACGGTGCTGTTTTTAAAGGGGAACTCACCAATTTTACACGTAGTTCACTCATAATGAGGACATGGGTAAAGGGTTACCCCAATTTGAGCTTGGTGGCTACAGATTTATATCCGAAAACCTGCTTTGCATGAAATTTGAAAGACGTAGAAGTCAAGGCAGGGACGGTCACATAGAAATAAAATGACTCCTTAGTAAATTAACACAAAGTACAAAAAGCCAGGATAATTTATCAGTTGATATAGTGGCTTATGACAGATAGAGCTTTGTCTGCTGGATTATTACTACAAATTTTGATATCACCTCAAAACTCCAGCATCCTTGGGGCTCTGCAGTACTGAATCGTTGGAGTATCCTTTTTAAATCATATTATCTGCCCTCTCCATCCACAGCACACTTCACATGAAGCAGTCACCTTTATTGCTTTTAGATACATACAGTCACCCTTAATAAAAAAAAAAAAAAAGATCAAACAGGACTCCTCAGGTTTTATAAAACCCACATCTCATATTTCTCAGTGCATTCGGTCTTTGTGCTTTTCCACGCTGACCCTGAGTTAACAGCGTGCGTATGTGTGTATACATTTGACTGCATAGGATTGCACATGATTTATTGATTACAGGTAATCCATTATATATATTTATTATGAAATAAATGTGATTTTTGTCACTTAACAATCCTCAAACTTGAACAATTCTCGTAAAAAATGCTGGCAGACATGGTTTACATGGACTATTAGTTTACGAGGTCTCCACCCTGGATCTGCGGACCCCCGCGTTGCCCCGCCGCCTTCTCACAGTCCCCCGCGAGGTGACGCCCTCGTTCAGTTTAAACTGAGCGATGCCACCTGATTCATCCAGTTTCTTGGCGCTGCAGCACGGTGTCGGCACCTTCACTGAGTTACCGAACTTGGAGTAGTCCACCGCGTACATGCCGTCCTCCTCGGAGACTGTGGGCAGAAAGCGCTGCCCCCACAGGATCTCCTCCGACACGTAGGAGGTCCTGGCCTGCGTGGTGATGCCCGTGGTCTCCACCACCCCCTCCAGCACCACGATCACCTCTATGTGCTCGTGCAGCAGGTCAGAGGCGGACAGGTCATACAGAGGGCTGTCCTTGTCGATGACGTGGCAGATGATGAGAGGGGACACCAGGAAGACGCCGTTGGTGCCGACCGGGTTATCCATGTGGATGTCAATCTGGTCCAGGGGAACCACCTCGCCCTCCTCGGTGCTAGTTCTCCTGACCACCTGCATTCGCACGGTGGCGCTGATGATCATGCTTTTCCTCAGGTCCCCGATGCGTATCATGAAGCACAGCTTGTTGTTGCGGATGGAGATGACGGCGTGCTTGCTGAAAATGAGCGTCTCTGCGCGTCGGTTGGCCTGCGCAGTTTTCATGAAGATGCAGCCGAGCATGATTGCGTTGATGAGCAGCCCGACAATGTTCTGCACGATCAGGATGATGATGGCGGAGACGCACTCCTCCGTGATCATCCGGCCCCCGAAGCCGATGGTCACCTGGACCTCTATGGAGAAGAGGAAAGCAGAGGAGAAGGAGTGAATGTCCGTTACGCACGGGACAAAGTCGTCTCCTCTCTGGTCCAAGTCGCCGTGTGCAAAGGCAATGAGCCACCAGATCATCCCGAAAAGGAGCCAGCTGCACAGGAAGGACATGGTGAAAATGATGAGCGTGTGGAGCCATTTTAAATCCACGAGAGTGGTGAAGACATCCTGCAAGAATCGGCCCTGCTCTCGGATGTTGGTATGCGCTACATTGCAGGTGCCGTTCTTGGCGATGAACCGAGCTTTCCCCGGTTTCGAATTAAATTTAGGGTGCACGACACCCTCAGCTAAACGTGTCAGCAGGTAATCATCAGGAATGAGTCCTTTCCTGGACAACATAGCGCTCCCATACTATGTAGCCCACAGCGTTTTTGGCTTTGAAAGTACTGGCTCGTCTCTGCCCGGCTGAAAGACGAAGTGCCGTCCTCTTTCCCGGTGCGTCCCGGTTTCTTACCAATCGGCCAGCTCCGTGGCAGCTGTAGGGCGAAGGAAGGGGAGTCTTCTTGTCGCCCGTTTTCTGGAAGTATGTGTCTCCTCACGTTGCCACCAGATCAGGCGCTCCACAACCGCGAAGTCCCATGAGAAGATTCTCCTTCCAGCTCTGCAGCTGCCGCCGTCAGTCACGACACTGGCCGACCGGGCATAGTTGTGCCACCCAGTCCCATAATGAATCCACCGACCCGTGGTGCCTACTCGCCGCGACCTCGTAGAGGAAAGTCAGTGAGATGTAAAATGTTGACGCGGGAGCATAATGGATCTCTGAGCTGAGTTTTATCACCTTTGGAGGAGAAGGCAGACTTTAGTGGCGCAATAGGCTCCGCGCTCACTCCGCCACTTCACTATAGCTCGGTAACGTGAGATGGAGACGTGGTGAGGTGGAGAGGCTGTCCCTCCCTCCACCATCTCTGTGGTACCCCCTTCCTGTGATTTTTCAAAGAGAATGCAACAGTGGGCCCGTTACGCATTAGGAATTGTTCAGTTGTGCAGCCTAAATGCCACAGGCAGCTCATACTCTGAATATATAATGGGTTAAATATAGGGCACTCTACAGTAAATCATCCTCGGGCAGTTGGTTTAACATCAATAGGAAGTGGGCTTTTCACCCCCAGGGACCAGATTCAGTCTTTTCATTAACATCCAGTCCTGGGTTTTGAAATCTCACGTAGGACAGACTTTATTTCACAGGCCACTGCACTTCTCTGGCATCCATATAACTTTGTAATGTCAGATGTCAGTCCTGGCTTCAGCAGGTGTAGCCTCTCATCCCACTTTGACACCCTTGAGGATATGAAGATGATCACCATGCTGAGTTTTTGGCTCTTGGCCTTGTCTTTCTGGACAGCATCATGTATTCCTCAGCTGTGCATCAGGTCATTTTAAACCTGCGATCCGCTGATGACTCATTTGTTTTGTACAGGCCGTAAAGTCTCACACAAGCACAAAAAAAACAAAAAACATTTCTGTCACTGTAGTCTCAATTCCCAAGTCCTTCCCCCAAACAACCCCAACTGAAAACACAAATGTAAATGATAATTTATGTTTTATTAACAAAGAATTATCTTTTTTATGTACAAATATACAACATGATTAGAAAATAAAAGGAATATATTCCATGGGACAATTGCACTTTGAATGTCTTCCTTTAATCCTTCCTCTCTCTCTTCTTGTGTTACTTGTCTGCTCGCACGAAGGAGGTGAAGACGCTGTCCTCCTTGTCCAGCAGGGCCTGGGGCATGTCGTACTCCAGAATGATCCCCCGCTTCATCACAATCACCAGGTCAGCATTCAGGATGGTGTGGACGCGATGCTGCGTGGCAGAGGGCAAGACAAGCGATCACTACATTGAACTTCACAGCGACAGAGAGAAAGAGAAAGAGGCTCCACTGTAGCTAATTCAGGCTTACACATCCTAAATGAGTCTTTATAAACAAAAAAGGCATTGCTTTATCACACCAATGTCTTACTGTACATCTGTTCAGTCATTTGTAGTACAATATATGTGTAATCTGGCTGTTATTTTAAGGAAAGATGAAATAGGAGCTTTGGGTTTTCTTGATAAGTTCATGTGAAATATCTAAAGTAGGAAGTTATGACTTTTGAACATTCATGGCTGATCTTTTCAATTACTTAATAATGACCTTAAGAAAATAATTTGTCCTGGAGGTCTGGCATCTGCTGTGATTACCCCCCTTCCTATTTTTCTCTCTTGCCTTTTACCTTTTCAGCACAATCCGGCAAGGTGTGTGTGTGTGTGTGTGTGTGTGCGTGTGCGTGTGCGTGCGTGTGCGTGTGCATGCGTGGAGGTGGGGGGTACTCACTGCTATAATAACTACTGTTCGGTCAGCAAAAGCAGTCATCACCACTTTCTGCAGGATGCTCTCCTGTGAGGACAGAAGCAGAGGGAGAGGAGGTTGACTACCACAGACTTGCGTTCATGTTGACAAAAGTACACTTGAGAGACAAAGTAAAACATGTTCCTTCATGCTGGTAAAAACCCTGACCCTTGAAAAACGTTTGTCAAACTGTCACCTCTCTTTTTCCTCATCTTGGTGTGCCTGATGAAACACTCAACTGTGTTTCCTCAAGGGCAGTGCAGCTGCGTTACTGTAAGTAATGTCGCTCTTTGTGACTGATCTTTCAGGAGAGGATCTTAAGTAAGAAGCAGCCATTTGCCGACACTTGACTGCCCTCAGGCTTTCACTGTGCTGTGTATTTTCCCTCCTTTTCATTCTTTCTCTTTGTGCTTCATGCACTCTTCCTCCACTTCAGCTTTCTTTTTATCCTTTTTCTTTCTAAAAGCATTAGTTAAAAGGTACAACCCTGTGATCCAAACCTGTCTAGAACCTGATGTAACCCCCATAATGACAGATTAATGCTTTAAACCAGTGGTTCCCTGGGGGTTGCGAGAATGCTACTATAGACACAAAAATAGGAAAAAAACAACTTAAAAATAACTAGAGGGACTATAGTTGTGAATGGAATCACTTTGGGTAGACACTAAATATTTTGCACTGTTTAAACCAATCAGGTGGGATAATGCCAACCTCTATAAAACGCCAAAGAAGAATAAGGCCCTGATCTGACAGAAAGCGCTTTGCAGGTTTGATAACGCAAGCCGCACAGCGATGCCTTTTTTGGTTGAATTTAGAAAAGAGCAAAGCGCTGCGTTTTTTTTATATTGCTATGCAACCGCCGACCAACCGACAGCTGTCCTGTCAGTCTAATCAAAGATTATAGCGCCAGCAATCTGTAATATTTGGTTTGCTGAGTAGCCTAATAACTGTCATATTAACAGAAACTTGATCACAACTCGCAGGTATGTGTTTTTTCTTGTTAAAAACGGAAGGTGCCTGCTCTGGCATTGTTTGAGTGTGAGAGGTGTTCAAACATGCAGGAGACAGGGAAAAGGGAGATCCGTGTCTCAGAAAGCGCTCTCCAATCAAAATATTTTCTCAAAAAGGGGTCGGACTGCCAGAAAGGTTAAGAACACGTGCTTTAAACCAACACTTCACAGCAACTAAATCTTAATTGCTGATGTTTGCTGGATGCCATGAACAGCCTGGACTGAAGATTTTCTATCTGTCTGTAACGTTTAACTATTTAGTTTTATGCCTTTCCCCATTGTTCTTTGTTTCCAGGAACAACAGATGAAAATTACCCGGTGAACTTTGTTTCACCCCTCACATTGAGTGAACCTATTGTCTCCACCTCCTCTGTTTCAGTTTCTCTAATTTCCTTCACATCCCTTCACCTCACGTCTTTTCATCTTCATCTTACCCTTTTACTGCTAATGTCCACCTAACAACACGACCACCTCACGGCGCTCTCAAAACACACTGACCGTTGCCATGTCTATGGACGCAGTGGCTTCGTCCATGATGAGGATGCTGCTCTTCCTGACGAAGGCTCTGGCCAGACAGAACAGCTGTCTCTGGCCCTGACTGAAGTTTTCTCCTCCCTCCGTCACCAGGGCATCTAAAGGGCGGGGGAAAGAACATAAATACTCAAGTATGAAACATATTTGGTTCATGGCAGCAACAAAGGTTTATCTTGAGGTTCATCTCACAAATCAGATTCGACTGCAACTTCAAAAGGAATCCCCCCCCCCCCCTCCCAAAGATGACAAAAGTACACAACCATGTCATTCACGATGCTTTGAACATTGTAATTGTAAATTCTACATATAAAAATATAATCAAATCAAATATAATATTATGATATTAAATATATGAGTGGATATGATATTGTTAACAGCTGTTATTAGTGATTTGATTTCCAAATTTGTAATACTTACTCAAAGACTTAACATTAGTTTGAAAAGTGGGGGTGGGCACATTAAGGACGGGGGGGACGGGGTTCTGGGGGTCCTCCCCCAGCAAAAAACAAACAAACAAACAAAAAGATTTGCATACCGCTTTCCACATTTCTACATGATAATCATTCTGCCAGAAAAGTGGTAAATATACATCGTCTTACTCTCTGCATGTTTAACCCAGAACCCCACTGAACATCACATGCTGTGCTTTTCAGTTAGGAATATAACCTGTACTTTGAAGAATAGGACTAGCAGATCTATGACTCATTATTTATAGCACCATCAACAGATAATGCTCCATTTTGAAAATTCAATCACAACATATAACACATTTATAAAAATACAAAATATATTTTTTTTTCACACACGGTCAATACTTCAATAAGTGTGATAATATGTGTTATGTTTTGTTTGTGTTCAAGGCCAGAGTCTAGTACTCTTTAATTTATGAGGAGTATATTATGATTATACCTTCTCACTGTAACTCAAAATACATGCATTTGACCTGATGGTGGTGCTACATTAAAAGTCAGAATGATTACACAACACTTAATGACCATTTATCCAATAGTTTTTGAGATGTTTCAGTCTGTGACCGTTGGACCAATTGAGAAAGAGCCGGGCTAAAACATAAATTTCAGACATAGACATAGACGTCATGTACACACACACATACACAAAACAAAAAGAGATTTTCTCACCGAGGCCTCCTGGAAGGGATTTAACAACAGGCTTGAGCTGAGCAATGTCCAGAGCTTCCCAGAGCATCTCATCTGTAGCCTTCATCTCTGGGTCCAGGTTGAACCTACACACACGTATTAATACACTTGTGCATGGATTTTATTACCTGCAAAACTTATCCCCAACCAAAAACCCTCAATATACCCCTTCCCTTCATTCAACAATAATGTTGATCCCTTTCTATTTGAAGTAATTATATAACTTATGATTATATAATTATTATTATTATGTAATTTCAATAAATGGATCAAAGCCTACGAGGTACAGTTCAGACCGCCAACGTGAGCTGCATTGCTACACTTACGCTTGACATCCAACAACATTTCCTTTCAATTTGCCGGCCTCAGAAATAACCAGCTCTTTACCCTACAGTATACTTTCACATGATTTGGCTGACTGAAATATTCAAAACTACAGTCTGACAGCATCACACAACTTCCTTAAATTTCTCCTCAGCTGTTCTTCTCCAACAGGACAAAGCTTTTATGGTGACTGCTGCTGAAGTCTAAAAATAAACCTCTGCAGTGAGTGGAGTTTTCAGAGGAATGTCCTCTTATCTACAAACCCTCGGCTCTACTCGTGCTTCAGACAAGTGTCTTTGAAGTGTGTCACAGTTTGCCAAGTGGTCCTGTAACTGGAAATGTTCCAGTCCCTTCTACTAAAACTAGATAATCAGCATCCCCAAATCTAATTCTCTGTGGATTTAGTCGGGTTGGGTATCGTTTAAAATTTTACGATAACAATACCAAAACCAGTACCCTTAAAGTGATACCAATACCAATAGAGTATACTTCATTCGATACCTTGCATAAAATGCCACTTGTTGAGCCATAGTAGTTGATTGGTAGCCTATTATTGTTTTTGTTATTGTTATGGACAAGCAATGTGATCTATTTTTTTCTTGTTTCAAATAACTGTTACATAAATTATTGGGAAATTGTATCAGATCGCTCCTCATCCTAATTAGTTCATCCTCACTGGTTGTATTACATGGGGAAAGACTACAGCTTGCAAATTTTTTTATATTTGAATGAGAGAGGAGGAGTGAAATAGTTTAGTGACCAAATAAGTTGTGGGAAACAAATTTCAGGTAGGCTAATTTTTGATACGTGTGTTGTGTGTTGAAAGTAAACAACGTAAAATGATTTTGTTAACTTTCGATCAATAACCTGAAATGAAAGATCTCTGAGTAAGGAGTCTAAACAAGTCACTTAACTAAACTAAAGACAAAAACAGAATAAAAACTTCCATCAGTGACGAACTTGCCTGAGACCTCAGCCAAAGGTGAGCGGCTGTTAAAATCACGGATGGACTCTGCAGGCCTTTTTTTATACAGTCT